AAGTGGAGTCCCTTGAATTTTGTTGGATTCCCCACCCTCTGACATGCACATGCTTACCAGTCAAGTCTAGAGCAGTTGCTACTTCTTGCTCGTTGGGTCCAACTAGCATGTCATTGATACAGTGGGCGAGTGTGATGTCTTGTGGAAGAAAAGACAATCAAGATCCCCATGCACTATCTGGCTGGCGTAGCTCAGTGGATTGAACGTGGACTGCGAACCAAAATATCGCAGGTTCGATTCCCAGTCAGGGCACATGCCTGGGTTGCAGGCCACGGCCCCCAGCAACCGCACATTGATGTTTCTCTCTCTCTCTCTCTCTCTCTCTCTCTTTCTCCCTCCCTCCCCTCTCTAAATAAATAAATAAAAATAAGACAAATCTTAAAAAAATAAAGTGGGTTAGCTTTCTTAAAAAAATAAATAAAAAATAAAGATCCCCATGCACTAAACCATGACTGGATTGGAGAGCTGATACACCCCAGGGGTGGGGCGAAGAAAGTATTGCGGTCCTGCCTGCCAAAAGCAGCTGGCTTCTGGGGGTCATTACCAGCAGGTATGGAGAAAAAAAGCACTTCCCAGATCAGAAGCCACAGGCCAAGTACTAGAGGGAGAAACATCTAGAAGGCAGCAGGAATTGGAGTCACCACTTGGCTAAGCTTACAATAATTCACTGTCATTTATCAAGATACATCAAGATACATTCTTTCTCCTGTGCTATGGACCCTACTGCTGAGACATGGCTGGGCAAAGAGCTGCTTTGCTCTTTCCAGGGTCCTATCCTCCAGGCTCAGGGGACAGGCACTTGGACAACTCTTGTCACATGAGGTAAGCTACAGTTCACCGTGCACCCATTCTCTGAGAATGTGCCTTCCACTAGGACAGGCCACCTTTTCCAAGTGGGCCCTTTATAAGGTCCATGTCACAGGAGCTCTTAGAATGGGCAGGGGCACTCCAAGTGTAATCTCATTGAACTTGTCTTCATGCTATCAAGGGAGGCTACTGCTATCCCCATTTCCCAGAGGAAGAAACAGAGGCTCAAACAATAATACCTTTCCAAGGTCACTGAATCTGTCTGACCTCAGTGCCCCTTAACCACTAGCCTCCTCCCACATAGGCACTGGATGTGTGCCTATGTGGACTCAGGGCTGGCAGAGGGGCAGGGCAGGGGTCACTCCAGGGGAGCCTTGGAAGTAGTCTCAGCACTTTCTCCATCTCTAAATCCCCAGTCTGATGCTTTGACCCTCCATCAGCTTCCCAACACCCCTGTGCTTCGTAAAGGCCTCTGCTCACACAAGCTCAAGTGAGTTCTTCTGTTGTAATTGAACTTCCCCTGGGTGGAGCAGGTTCAAGTTCGTCCCTGTGACTCACTGAGCTGCCCTATATGTGCTTCCCTGACTGAGAGGAAGAGGTTTGTGCCTGCAGGGAGAGGAAGCGGCCATGCAGCCAGGCCATTCCCTCCATCCTGGCTAGCAGAAGCTAAGTTATTAGCAGGAGGGTTAGGGGCACGGATACGGCTGGGATCAGGGCAATAGCCCTGCAAAGAATAGTCTGTGTGGACTGTAATGAGTAGTCTTATAAATATAGCTTGGAAAAATTGTGCAAGAATTTCTTTGATACATTCCTAGGCTCAACACAGCTAGGCAAAGATATGTATGTACCTGTGAGGCTTTATGGGTCCTGTGAGCTATTCTCTCAAAGAAGAGTGTCCTTTCACAGTTCTCTCCAGGGGATCTGGTGGCATCTGTTTCCTCACATTGTCCCCAGGACTGGTTGTCACCGGACATAAAAACTGCTAGTGATGGTGGCACAGGTCATCTCCATAATGTGTGTCCTCAGTGGGGAGGCAAGCATCTGATGCGCTTCTTGTTTGCACTGCATGTTTGTTTCTGGTCCCTTTTTAAAACAGTGATTTGTGAGTGTTTCTGGTACCACTGGAATGTTAAACTTTCCTCTGGCCTCGGGTTCTGAGGAATGCTGCTCCTGTTTCCATTTTTCTTCCACAGGTGATGCTTTCCTTGTGTTTGGATAGCCACAGAAGAGCCCACTCTTTCTTTCTGGCCCCTGACCCCTGGTGAACCTCAGAACAGCAGTTCCCATCCAAGATTTGAACATATCTACTAAAAGGGCTTCAATTTTCACATATAACCTTTTCATCTGGGATTTGCTTTTTAAATAAAAAAGTGCTTTTTTAAATTAAAAAAAAACACACAAAAATGAGTCCCTCTTAAAATATATGGGCAGACATAAAAAGCCACATATTATGATTTGACTTATATGAATAATCCAGACCAGGTAAAGAAACAGACAGAACAGGTTAGCTGTTGCTGGGGGCTTGGGGAAGTGAATGCAGTGACCACAGGGTACGGGCTTCGCTTCTGGGTGTGGAGACATGCTGCAGTTAGACAGTGGGGCTGGTTACACAGCATAGGGAAAAACTTAAAGCCTCTCTGAATTGAAGTTTGAACATGATTAAAAGATTACATGATGCTGAATCTAAATTTTAACACAATGTTTTACATTTTTAAAAAATATAGAGAAAGGAAAAACATAAAAAGTGCTACTGCCAGCGGGGAGAGGAGGCAGCTCTGGTGCTGGGTGTAGCTCGGAGCTGGTGCTGCCCCTGCTGCACAGGTGGTGAGACAAGGTGGCTCTAGAGCTTCTTCTGTAGCCGGCTCCAGCTCTGGAGTTGAGCTAGAACTGGTTGTGCACTCTGCTCTGGCTCTGGACCTGCTAAAGGAGATGGCATCAAATCTAATGACAAAATGCCTCAAGCTCTAAGAGGCCTTGGGTTCTAGTTATACAGTAGGATCTAGCTCTTGAGAAGGTACAGGAGCTGGTACAGGAGTCAGCGCTACTCTGGAGATGGCACTGGAGCTGCAAGAGGAGAGGTCACGCACAGCCTGCCTTCCCATAGGCCTCTCTTCAAAGACAGGGCATATCCCAGGGCCTTCCAGAGAAGGACATCTTCCCAGGCTGACTCCAATGGTCTCAGATCTGTCTGCTTCTGTCCTCACATCAACCTCCGTAAGCTCCTCCCCAGCTCCTCCCCAAGGGGCCCCAGCACCAACCTCCCCATATGACCACATGCACCTACCCCCACTGCTTTACCCTAGGGCTCTGCCTCTGTGGGCTCTTGGTCATCCAGCTAGGCCAAAAGAAGGTGGGCATGGTGTTCCAGCTCTGGGCTAGGCATGCTGAGCTGCATATAAGCCATAAACATTTAGGCCAGTAAAGTCCACATCTCCCAGATGTTGACCCCAACTGGCCTCAGCCCTAAATATCCCCCACCATGACAACAAGAGCTTTCTCACACCTTTAGCTGTTTCTGGGGTCTGTTGTCGGTCTGACAAGGAGGATAGAGGAATTCATATGCAGAGGAGGCCAGGACGGTGACACATGGAACATCCTGGGTCCTCTATGATGTCTAGTGGGACTGGCCTACACCCCAACTGGAATGGAAGCCTGGAGGACAGAGATTTTAGTATGTTCCATTCACTGAACATATAACCAAGTACCTAGAAAAGGACCTACACACAGTAGGCACTTGATATATCTACTGTTGACAGAATGAACTTTCTCAGATATCTCAGTGTATGCGGGGCCACTCAGCAAGCCCCCAGGGGTTCCTACTCTGGCTACATCTAGGACAGGAACACCCGGATAGAATGTGAAACCTCCTTTACGAGTGGAAATAGCTTTTACCAAGACCACAGAATAAGTGAGGCTTGAGGCAGAGAGCTTCTTCATGGGGAAGAGGAAATCATAAACAAGAAAATCACAGCCCTCGGCAGTCCTTTCCACAATGCCAGGCACAGGGTCAGCACTCTCCATGGCTTATCCCATTTAGTCCTAACAAAAATTCCGAGGTGGGTCCTCACAGCACCCCGTTTTCACATTAGCAAACTGAGGCTTAGAGAGGTGAGGTGGCATTCCCAAGACACACAGCTATGGGGTGGCAGAGTAACCACTGTGCTGTAGCGGGGAGAAGCACCCACCTTTTCTGCAGCAGGTCTGTGACCTGTTGGATGCAGAAGTTTCAGTAGACAGACAGGGAGGTGGGTCACAGTAGTCCGTCCAGAGGGCAGAAAGCTAGTACTGTACCAGCTTCTCCAGCATGCCTGCCTTCACGGTCCCACCCTGCAAGTCTCATCCAGGTTCAGGGACAACTCATTCACGCTAGCGCGGGACGAGTCAAACGATAGAAACAGTAGCAAATGAAGAAATACTCGTGGCCATAATGTGAAGTGAAAGATGTATATAAAGAACTTTATGATATTCCCACAAATAATTTTGTTTTCACAGTAGCTGAATGAATCAATGAGAGAATCTCGCAGCTCCCCCTCGCCTCTGAGTAGCTCACACGGGGATGGAGACTAATAATAAAACGTGTAAGTTGGGTCAGAGGCAGGGGCAAGCCCAGAACAACTGAACTGTTCCCTGCTACAGTTACTACAGTGGGCAGAGCCCACCACCTGGCGGTCAGCGTTAGCACTGCAGCCGCGGGCCGGAAACCAGAAGGAAAACACAGGATTGTTCCGGGTCTTTCAGGCAGTGGGGTTCCCAGGCTCCAGAGGGCAAAGGAGCAGGGGGCTCCAGGGGGTATGAAAGAGACCTGGAATCCTCCATGTTCTCCGGTTTCCATCTACTGTCCCGGGGCGCCCAGTTCCCTCTCGAAGCCTGCTCACGCCAGCCAGGGCAATGACTCCGTCCAGTTGCACCAGAGTACCTGAGGTTCCAGCAAGGGAGGTCCGGCCCCAGGCTGTCCAGTGCCCTGCCCTGGCCCCCAGGCCAGCCCCTTGTCCCAAGAACTTCAAGGGGTAGAAAGCATTTACAGGATTCACCGCAAAAGGTCATCGAAGGAGAAAAAACACAACACACTCTCCCGTGAACCTGTAGGACCCTCAGGGTGCCCGCCCCAAGCACACGCAGTTGTGGAGTAGGAAGCAGGCCTCTCCTCCTGAACCTGGAGGCCCCTCCCCACGGCTTGGGGGTCGGGGACTTACCCTAGTCCCAGGCGCCGGGAGCCCTGGACACAGCGCCCCAGACCCTGTCCTCTCCCGGCCCGCCTTGGGGGTGGCCCTACCAACATTGGGACCCTCGGGACTCCAGCCTGTCAACCTGGCTTCGCTCTTCTCCGGGCGCTGTGCGCCCCCCGGCACGGAGGTAGCAGACAGGAACCCGCCAGGACCTCAAATCGTAGCGCGCGCACCCCGCTTCCCAACGGCCGCAGCGCTCGGAGGGCCTGGGCACGCCCACCGGTCGGCGCCGCGCTGCGCCCCCAGCCGCAGGACCGCGGAGCTCACCGCTGGAGCCCCCATCCGACAACGTGTCCGCCACCGGGGCTCACCCCCCCGCCTCCCGCAGCAGTCTCAGACGCGCCCCGCCCCGAGGCATGGAAAAGATACCTGTTCTGGGCCTGGGCACCTGGAAAGTGAGGCAGCCTCGCGGTCGGGGAGGGGCGTCGCCTTTGCTTATTGGGGCTCCCCGGGACGTGGAGGGGCCACCCGCTGGGGACAGGACTGGGACTTCTGCCCCGACGGCCTGGGAAACCCGCGGGGGATACCTGCAGCAGCATCTGCCAACCCAGCTAGTAGTCTGTACCTCCCTGGGAAGCTTCCTGTGTTTGAAAGATGGAATTTCTAGATCAAACATTGTCTGAAAATGGGGGTGTGTGATATTTAATATTGGTGCCAAGTCATAATTATCCAGAAATAATGTTTGGGAAAGCCCGAAATGAAAGGTTGTCAGTCTTGGGTACCGGCAGAAAGAATGGCAGTCACCTAATTAGATCAAACAGCAGACAACTGTTATTGGACTGCATTATCTGTATCTAAAAAATGGTAAAGAACCCTGGCCGGGTGGCTCAGTTGGTTGGAGCTTCATCCCGTGACCAAAAGGTTGGGGGTTTGATTTCCATTCAGGGCACATAACTAGGTTGTGGGCTCCATCCCGGTCGGGATGGGTATGGGAATCAACCCATCGGCCCCATTTCTCTCTCTCTCTCCCTCTCCCCCCCCCCCGCCTCCCTCTCCTCTCCTCCCCCCCCACACCTCTCCGATCCTCTCTCTCTAAAATCAATAAACATATCCTCTGTGTGAGGATTCATAAAAAAAGAAACTCTACCATTGCAATTTGTTTTTTGTTGTTGATATTTATTTTTTTATGTATTCATTTTTAAATTTTTTCCATCACCACTTATCGCCCCTTTACCTTCTTCCACCTCAACACACCACCCACAATCACCAGACTGTTGTCCCTGTCCAAGGATTTTTTCTCCTTTTTTTTTTTTTTGCTCAATCCCTCCACCCACCCATCCTCAGCCTTCTCAGAGCTGCCTGCCTGCTTGCTTTCTATCTATGAGTCTGTCTCTATTTTGATTGTTAGTTAAGTTTGTTCATTAGATTCCATATTATGAGTGAAATCATATGGTACTTGACTTTCTCTCACTGGCTTATTTCACTTAGCACAATGTTCTCCAGGTCCATCCATGCTGTGGCAAAGGGTAAAATTTTCTTCTTTTTTTACACTGAGTAGTATCCCATTGTATAAATGTATGATAGCTGTTTTATCCACTCATCTACTGATAGACACTTGGGCTGCTTCCATATCCTAGTGATGGTAAATAATGCTACAATGAACATAGGTGCACACATATATTTTTAAGTTAGTGTTTTGAGTTTCTTCAGATAAATTTCCAGAGGTGGAATTCCTAGGTTATGAGGAAGTTCCATTTTTAATTATTTGAAGTAACTCCGTTCCACTTTCCACAGTGCCTGCACCAATCTGCTTTCCCACCAACAGTGCAAAAGGGTTCCCTTTTCTCCACATCTTCATCAGCACTTCTTGTTTGTTGATTAATTGATGATAGACATTCTGAAAGGTGTGAGGTGGTATCTCCTTGTGGTTTTCATTTGCATTTCTCTGATGATTAGTGATGTTGAGCATCTTTTCATATGTCTATTGGCCATCTATGTATCCTCTTTGGAGAACTGTATATTTGGGCTTTCCCCATTTTTAAATTGGATTGTCTGTTTTTTTAGTGTTCCGTTGTAGAAGTTCTTTATAAATTTTGGATATTAACCCCTTATCAGATGTATTGATGAATATGTTCTCCCATTTAGTGGGTTGTCTTTTCATTTGTTGATGGTTCCCTTTGTTGTGCAAAATCTTTAGTTTGATATAGTCCCATTTGTTTCTTTTTTTCTTTTGTTTCCCTTGCTCAAAGAGATATAGCAGAAAAAAATATTGCTACAAGAAATGTCAAAGATTTTACTGCCTATGTTCTTTGAGGATTTTTATAGTTTTGAGTCTAACATTTAAATCTTTAATCCATTTTTACTTTACTTTGTGTGTGGTTTCATTTTTTTTTCATGATCCAGTTTTCCCAATAGTATTTATTGAATAGCTTGTCTTTAGCCCATTGCATGCTTTTGTCTTCTTTGTCAAATATAATTGACTATAAAGGCACAGATATACTTCTGGGCTCTCTGTTTAGTTCCATTGATTTATATGTCTGTTTTTATGCCAATGCCATGATGTTTTGATTACTATGGCCTTGTAGTATAGTTTCATATTAGGTAGCATGATTCTTCCTACTTTGTTCTTTCTTAAGAATGCTGAGGCTTTTCAAGGTCTTTTGTGGTTTTATATAAATTTCTGTAATGGTTGTTCTAGTTCTGTGAAATACACCATCGGTATCTTGATAGAAACTGCATTTACTCTGTAGATTGCTTTGGGTAATGTGGACATTTTAATGATACTAATTCTTCCTGTCCATGAACACTTACTTCCACTTACTTGTGTCTTACCACACACAAGTATGTGCTTCCACTTACTTGTATCTTCTTTAGTTTCTTCCTTCAGTGTATTCTAATATTCTGAGTATGGGTCTTTTACATCCTTGGTTAGATTTATTCCTAGGTATAAATTCAAAAGTACTTATTCTTGAAGTACTTGTGAACGAGACTGTTTTTTAGTTTCTTTTCTGATCATTCATTATTGGCGCATAAAATGCAACTAATTTCTGGATTCATTTTGTATCCTGATACTTTACTGAATCCATTTATCAGTCTTAGTAGTTTTTTGGTGGAATCTTTAGGGTTCTCTATGTATGGTATCGTGTCATCTGAAAATAATGACACTTTTACTTCTTCCTTTCTAATTTGTATATATTTTATTGCTTCTTATTTTCTGATTTCTGTGGCTAGGACTTGCTGTACTATGTTGAATAAGAGAGGTGAACGTGGACATCCCTGTCTTATTCTTAATCTTAAGGGAAATGCTTGTAGTTTGCACCCACTGAGTATGATGTTGGCCATGTGTTTGTCATATAAGGGTTTTATTACCTTGAGGTATGTTCCCTCTCTTCCCACTTTGCTGAGAATTTTTGTCATAAATGGGTGCTAGATTTTTTCAAATGCCTTTTCTGCATCTATTGATATGATGATATAGTTTTTATCCTTAATTTTGTTTCTGTAGTGTATGAAGTTTATTGATTTGCATATATTGTACCAAAATTGCATCCCCAGAATAAATCCTACTTGATCAAGGTGTATGATCTTTTTAATGTATTGCTGAATCCAGTTTGCTAATACATTGTTGCAGATTTTTTAATATGCCTGTATATAAATCAATTATATTGACCTGCAATTACCTTTCTTTGCAGTGTCTTTTTTCTGGGTTTTGGTATTAGGATAATGCTGGGCTTGTAAAAGGAACTTGGGAGTCTTTGACCCCCTTGAATTTTTTAAAATAGTTTCAGAAGGAGAGGTGTTAGTTCTCTGAATATTTGGTAAAATTCACCTGTGAAGCCATCTGGTATAGCATAGGGCTTTTGTGTGTTTAGAGGTTTTTGATTACTGCTTCAGTTTCACTAGTTGTAATCTGTCTGTTCAGATATTCTGATTCTTCCTGACTTAGTTTGGGAAGATTGTATGTTTCTAGGAATTTATCCATTTCATCCAGATTGTCCAAAATTGCTGGCACAGTTATTTGTAATATCTTCTCTGTATTTCTTTGATGTCATTGTTACTTCTCCTGTTTAATTTCTGATTTTATTAATTTGAGCTCTTTTTCTCTCTCTCTCTTTTTATCTTTTCCAAGAAGAGTTCTTGGTTTAACTGATTATAGGTGTTTTTTTAACTCTATTTTTTTTAGTTCTGTTCTGATCTTTATTATTTCTTTCCATTTATTCACTTTGGGCTCTGTTTTTCTTTTTCAATTCCTTTAAGTGCAAAGTTAAATTGTTTATTTGAGCTTTTTTATTTATTTTGTGAAATAGGCCTGTAAATGCTATAAATTTCCCCCCTAGGATTGATTTCCCAATGTCCCACAGATTTTGGATTGTTGTGTTATAATTTTCATTTGTTTCAAGGAATGTTTGATTTTTTTACTTGTTTTTATTATAAACATATTTATTTCTTAGTAACATGTTATTTAGCCTCTATATCTTTATGAGCTTTTCAGTTTCCTTCTTGTGATTGATTTCTAGTTTCATAGCATTATAGTCAGAGAAGATGCTTGATATGATTTCAGTCTTCTTAAATGTATTGAGATTTGTGGACTTCTAGCCAAAATGGAGACATAGGTAGATATACTTTGCCTCCTCACACAACTAAAAGAAGGACAACAACAAATTTAAAAACAAAAAATAACCAGAACTTCCAGAAAATCAAACTATGTAGTTCGACAATCAAGGAGTTAAAGAAGAAACATTCACCCACTGGTAGGAGGACCAGAGAAGGGCAGCCGGGGAAGAGAGGACATGTGTCAAGACTGAGGCTGGAGGACTGGGCAGGAGGGCAAAGTGGTGGATTGAACACTGGGCGGTCCCACATTTGTGTGCTGGTAAACCAGGAGGAACAACTGGGGAGCAAGACAGTCCTCAAAACCTCTGGCAGTAAAAACCTATGGGAGTTGTAGTGGAGGGAGAAACTCCCAGCATCCCAGGAGAGTTTGCTGGAGAAACCCACAGGGTCCTAAAACAGACACAAACCCACGCACTAGGGAATCAGCACCAGAAGAACCCAATTTGCTTGTGGGTAGCAGGTAAAGTGACTGAAAGCCTGCTGAGAGCCTAGCAAGCAGCATTGTTCCCTTTCTGACCCCTCCCCCAAGTACAGCACCACAATGCAGTGACATGGGTTGTCCCATTCTGGTGACTACCTCAGGTTCTGCCCCTTGCAACTTAACAGCTGTGCTGCAACAACAACAAAAAATATGGCCTTAATGAAAGAACAGATCAAAGCTCCAAAAATAAAACTAAGTGATGGAGAGATAGCCAACCTATCAGATACAGAGTTCAAAACACTAGTAAGCAGGATGCTCACAGAAATGGTTGAGTATGGTTGCAAAATTTAGGAAAGAGTGAAGGCTATGCAAAGTGAAATAAAGAAAAATATACAGGGAATCAACAGTGAAGAGAAGGAAACCAGGACTCAAATCAACAATTTAGAGCAAAAGAAAGAAATAAACATTCAACTGGAACAGAATGAAGAACAAGAATTCAAAATATAAGAAGAAGCTTAGGAACCTCCAGGACAACCCTAAACCTTCCAACATCCGAATTATAGGCATGCCAGAAGGAGAGGAGGAAGGGCAAGAAATTGAAAACTTATTTGAAAAAAATAATGAAGGAGAACTTCCCCAATCTGGCAAAGGAAATAGACTTCCAGGAAGTCTAGGAACCTCAGAGAGTCCCAAAGAAGTTGGACCCAAGGAAACACACATCAAAGCACATCATAATGACATTACCCAAGATTAAAGATAAGGAGAGAATTTTAAAAGCAACAAGAGAAAAGGAGACAGTTACCTACAAAGGAGTTCCCATAAGACTAATAGCTGATTTCTCAAAAGAAACCTTGCAGGCAGGAAGGGGTTGGAAAAAAAGTATTCAAAGTCATGAAAGGCAAAGACCTACCACCTAGATTACTCTATCCAGCAAAGCTATCATTTAGAATGGAAGGGCAGATAAAGTGCTTCTCAGATAAGGTCAAGTTAAAGGAGTTCATCATCACTAAGCCCTTATTATATGAAATGTTGAATGGACTTATTTAAGAAAAAGAACATCAAAAATATGAACAGTAAAATGACAACAAATTCACAACTATCAACTGAACCTAGAAACAAAAGCAAAAAGAAACTAAGCAAACAACTAGAAGAGGAACAGAATCACAGAAATGGAGATCAGATGGAGGGTTATCAGTGGGGAGGGTGATGGGGAAGTATGGAGGAAAGGGTACAGGGAATAAGTAGCATAAGTGGTAGGTAGGAAATAGACAGGGGGAGCTTAAGAACAGTATAGGACTTATATGTACATCCCATGGCCATGAACTAAGGTGGGAGAATGTGAGTGAGAGGGATAGGTACAGAGCAGAGGGGAATAAAGAGAGGGGAAAATGGAATAACTGTAATAGAATAATCAATAAAATATATTTTAAAAAACTTACTGAGGTTTGTTTTGTGTTCTAACTTGTGACCTGTCCTAGAATGATCCATGTGAACTTGAAAAGAATGTATATTATATTGCTTTGGGGTGAAATGCTCTGAAGATAGCAGTTAAAGTCATTTGATCTAGTGTGTCATTTAAGGCCTCTGTTTCCTTGTTGTTTTGTCTGGAAGATCTAACCATTCATGTCAAGGGGGTGTTAAAATCCCCTACTATGACTATATTACTGTCAGTCTCTCTCTTTATATTCAAATTTGCTTCACTTATTTATGTGTTCTTACTGCGTACATTTTTATAACAAGGGTTGTATCCTCATGTTTGATTTGCTTCCATTATGATTATGTAGTGTTCTTTGTTTCTTACAATACCCTTGGTTGCACAGTCTGTTTTGTCAGATATAAGTATTGCTACTCCAGCTTAAAAAAAAAAAAGTCTGCTACTGCCAACTTGGTTTCTTAACAGAAACTGAAATTGCTTGCCTAATGTGTAAAAACCTGACAGTGAAAGCACTTTGAAATTTGAAACTTTCTCTACTTTCTACTTCTGATACAGGTCAGTGCTTTGAGATTTGGCACTTACTTTCAAATTTACTTTTCTGTTGTTGTTGTTTTTTTTTAATTTAGTCTTTGATAGAAAGATGTTTCTTTAAGAAATCACACAGGAAGTTATTGGAGGAATAGGAATTAGAATGATCAAACCTGCCACCACCTCCTCACTCATCTAATATTATTTAGACTCTTTCTTCTATCTACTCAACTCTTAGAGGCCAAGGATGTGGTCTCACTCATTGGGGTTCTCAGCATCTAGCTAAGGCCATGCATTTGGCCGCCACTCAGTAAACACCTGGTGGATTGGACTGTCTTGATTCCTTGCCTGACTTTAATTCTGTCATTTATACACTCTGCCTTCTGCACACGGCTGTGTGTGGAGGTCCACCCATTGACGCATGCTCACCGACGGGCAGTGAGCACGGAATGCTGTGGATGACTCATCGAAACACAAGAAAGACATACGCAGAAACAAGCAGTTTCTGTGGGGAAGTAAAAACGGAATAGCCCCTCCTTCTCTAGCGGGGAAAGCACCCTGTATCCATTCCCAAGCAGATTTTTATTGAGAATACAGACTTAGTTTGTGGATTCACAATCTGGCGGAAAAGATCAAAAGAAGTAGGTGACTTACAAAGATGCAGACAGAACGCCCGCTGTGATTCTGGGCAAAGGTTTGGGGTTTTAACATTTGAAAGGACTACAGGTTCCAAAGGTTTCCTGTCTGTGCCTTTAAATTGCAAGTTAATAACATCCTCCAGCAAACAGATCTCACAGGATCTTGCATATTCTATGTCCCAGGCCTGATTACCCCAGGGGTCCAATGTTTCTGATCTGGGCTGCACTGCCCCTGCTATTTCAACACGTCTGAGTCAACAGAGACAAAGGCAGCCAGGAGACTTGGATTTCTCACATCTAATAACAAGGATTCAGGCTTTGACAAAGCCGAGGGGGCAGGGGCTGATGTCCATCACCCCTTCATATCCAAAGCCCTGAGTCTCTCCCTTAGGGCATTCCCACGTGATCAAGTCTGTCTTAGATTCATTCTCTTCCTTAGAGAATTGTAACCCATCATTGACTGCCGATCATGCAATGAGAGCCAGGAATTAGAACAGGCAGCGTTCATGCCAGGGAAGTAAGTTTTGTCTCCTTAGTGGCTTCAAGTCCAGAGGTATTTCACTCAGCCTAAGTCACGGGGCGTTACAGCTCCCGGAGACCAGGCAGGGTGGTCCCCAACCACCTGTTCTGTGCTCAGTGTGAGGAAAAGCTGTGAAAACTGTGCCTGGGAGGCCAAAACATTCCTTTCAGTTGTTCGATTTTAGAGGCATAGAATTGGGTTAATCCTCATCCCCTTACCTGATTTGTGCAAAGCCTTCTTTTATTTATTTTTAATTATGTACAACACAAATCTGCCACCAGCACCCCAGAAATGCTGCTGACCAACCAACCACAAAAGCTCCACGTCTTACAAGCACATGGTTGATTGCTCCTGCTGGTGGTCAGTGGGTCAGCTCCTTGGAACTTGTTCACTTTGCAGGCGGCTCCAGGGGATGTGACACAGGCAGTGAAAGTGGCAATAGATGTGGGATATCGGCACTTTGACTGCGCATACCTGTACCACAACGAAAGTGAGGTTGGAGCCGGGATCCAGTGCAAGATCAAGGAGGGTGTGGTACAGCGGGAGGACTTGTTCATTGTCAGTAAGGTAAGACCTCCCCTGCAGGGAGAGGAGGTGCTGGTTGCCCAGAGCTTGGGCAATGAGACAGCTGACAGTCCATGATGAATGATTTCTCCTGTAGAGCTGATGACTTGCATTCTTGCTTGAACCAGACCTGACAAAAACTTCTGCAGCTTCATGCACATGTTGGGTGTGGTGCAGGTGAAGGGGTCAGTGACAGTGTGACTCACAGAGAGGGTAACTAGAGCAAAGCCATGAGTCATGGGACAGTGTGTGGGGTACAAGGACCCAAAAGAAGTTTGGTGTTCCTGAACCAAGAAGTGTTGCCAGGACAGACAAGGAATAGTGTGATGGAGCTAATCCATCACACAAGAGGTGCACACAATTTAAGGAGTTCTCTTGATGACCCAGGGGCAGAGGCTGTGTCAACACTGGCTCTGTGGCCAACTGTCAGCATTCCTCCTCCCCCTTGTAGCTCTGGTGCACCTACCATAAGAAGTCCTTGGTGAGGGCAGCCTGCTCCCAGACTCTGAAGGCCTTGCAGTTGGAGTACTTGGACCTCTACCTCATACACTGGCCCATGGGTTTCAAGGTACTGTCCAGGCCTGGTGAGAACCCCCACCAGCAGCCTCCCTTCCTGGTTGTGCCCGCATGGGTGGTAGAAGGCACTGGGCCACCAGCCAGGGTGCATGGGTTCTGGGCTGTGTCAGCCACACATACACATTCAGTTGTCTCTGAGCCTCAGCTCAGGAGAGGCTTGGACTCGAGGACCTCTCACTTCTAGTGGTTTTTGCTTCCAAGCCAGTCCTTTGTCCTCCAAGCCAACAAAGCAATCCATGTTTCCACAGGTCTCTAGGTGAAAGCAGGAAGCAGACAGAGGACATCAGCTGAGTGAAGCTGCTGCTCACATCACTCCCTGGGTCCCGGGGAATTCCTGGGCCCTGTCTCTTCCCCCAGGAAAGCTGGGGTTCTCTTTGGGCAGTGATGGCTGCTTTGTGATATGGGAGACATCTGCTCAACACCTGCGGTGGGGGCAAAGGGTTCTGGAGAGAGATTATTGCTCCTTTTGGTGCTATTCCCTTCTGTTGATTGTATCTCACACACACAGCCCTCCCACCCTATCCCCCTGCCAAATTGTTCTCCCAGCCTCAGTACCATGTGGGTCTTGGCCAGGATGTCCCCATGCACCTGCCAACCAAGGGCTCAGTCACACAGGTGGCACTGGGGAGCCTTGAAAGGACACTCTGCCTACATTGCAGGCGGTGATGTCTACACAGGAATCTCCCATGTATGCACCGTGTTTGAGGAGCTCATGCTGTGTGCCCAGCTGTCAGGTTCCTTTTGACATTAAACAACAAAAACCACTTCACTCTTAGTACAGCTTTACTTTCAGGCTTAGTGTTTAATTTCAATAAAGGCTATAGGAACTGCTCATCTGTCACATTAGTGGACTACTGAAGATGAGAGAGAAGGAGTCAGCAGTGGTTTCTGTCTTTGACCTCAGTGCACCCAGAGAGTAAGATTAAAGTAGCAACCACAGCTGGGTCATGCTTGCTGTCGGCTGTTAGTGTTATTTTAACGGTGGACCAGGCACTGTTTTGTGCACTTCATGCACATGGATCACTTAATCCTCACACCAATTTCTATGAGGCGGATACTGTTACTCTGCCCACTGCACAGATGGTACAACTGAGCACAGAAAGACTTCGTAGTATTATTGGGGCCCAGATGTTGACACTCAGGTCAGCATGTGATACACTGCCTGGCACTTTTATACGGGTGTCCAAACTTTAGGCATCTTTGAGCTACACTGAAAGGAGAAGAGTTGCCTTGGCCCACACGTTAACTACATGGCAACATGTAACCACAAGAAAAATCTCATATCGGTTTAAGTAAATATATGATTTTTTGTGTTGGACAGCATTCATAGCCATCCTGGGATACATGTGACCCATGAGCCTCAGCTTGGACACCCCTCTAGCAGATCCCTGCAGTGGGCTCTCTGGGTGGTCAGCTCCAAGGAGAAAGCCAGAGAGGACTTGTGCAGAGGTTGAGAGAAATGTCAGCACAGGAAGAGAATCTAAATGAGACGGCTAGTTGCTTCCTTATGAAAAATTCCCACAAAATGTGTATCAGGGTGCAATTTTAGACATTTTCCCCACTATCACTGAAAAGAACAATTAAGTGTCATTGAATAGATATGTCATACAGCATTTGCCCAACGACAGGTGACACACAGCTGTCAGTCGGGGGGCATAAGACTAAGCATCAGAAGGTCCAAGAGTCCTAAGGCACTCCCTTGTTCCCTGTCAATCTTTCTCTGGGCCCTGCACCTCCTGTGCTCCTTGGTATCTCTAGCTTCATTATCTCTCACACCATGGGGACCCTAAGAAAAGCAGAAAAGAGCCTCACAATGGACTTTGGAGAAAGTAGACTGAGCTCTTGAGATAAAAAGGCAAACCTCTTTCCCTCTTTTTTACATGAAATTGCTAAATGCTATTCTGACAATGGGCAAGGATTCCAGGTCTTCTTTCCTGACAGTGAGAGGTGGGCAGTGAACTTCCAGGCTGCGAGTGACCTTGAAGGCCACCAGTCCACCCAACCCTTGTCTTGTGAAGGTGAAGCTGGGGCCTGGAGAAGGGAAGTTCCACAGCATGGTGTGAGGGCTATGCTCAGGCCCAGACCTTCTGGCCCAGGGCCCAGCATTCTTTCCCCACATCTCATTCTCCCTTCATCCATGCTTGTCTTGAGGGATGACCACCAGCCCCCAGTAAGCTCCTTTCCCCTGGTCCTTACAGCCTGGAGGAAAAGACTTGCCCTTGGATGGCAGTGGCATGGTGATCCCGAGTGACACAGATTTCCTAGACACGTGGGAGGTAAGCTGGGCTCACCAGCAGCATCTTCATGCTACTGATGGGCATTCAAATGGGCAGCCATAAGATCCTGAGCCTCTTGTGTTCATTGACACCAGGTTGTCTCCCTAAAACACAGGTGTGTGGGTGCATTGGGAAGGGACACCTGACCATGGCTATCAGGGACCTCAGTCTCCTTTTGTTCCTCTCTTTCTGAAATGTGCAATTTAGGAATAACTAATCCTGAACTCTCTTTGATTCTCCAATGCTGATTATTTTATTCAAAATATTACACATGGTGATTATGGAAAATAAGGAACTAAGGAAGAGTGTAAAAAAGAAAATTCAAAATCCATTTTTCATTTCCAGTTCTAGTATTTTCTAGTTTCTTTAGCTCTTTTGTAAGCATTTCAGGAAGAAAACTTTGGCAGGTGGTGAAGTGGGAGGCAGGGAGTCTGGGACACACATGGAGGAGGGGACAACATTTCAAGCCTGCTGCCAGTGTCCAGACAAGGAGTCATGAGGTTTGAAGTAGAGTGTCCAGCGTGGGAGTCAGGACATGACCAGTGTGAGAGGCATTACTGTGAATTGATGGTGTGACAGGAGGACAGCAGGTTCCTGCTGACTCTGGCTTCTAGCCCAGCCCACAGGGCACCTGTAATCCTGCAGGTCAACATGAGGGCAAGAGTGACATATGGGAGGAAAAGAAGTTCAAAGTGGAACTGGCTGAGTTTGGGGAGATGAGACTCTGCAGCCATTGGGTGAGATGGGCAGGTGCAGGTGCGGGAGTGCCTGAGGGAATCCCAGCAGAGGGGGAGGGGAGCACAATCCAGGGAAGCACCCAGGCAGGCCATCCTGTAAGCAGGGGAATCACTGAAACAGAGATCAACTGAGGGGTCTGATCTATCAGGAACAGTGTCCGGGAGCCCCAACCCTGCTGTCACTGATGCTGCCTCTCCAGAAAGTCAGGGGTGGGGGGAGGAAGCTCCGGGATGTCGTGTAGCATGAGTGGGCTCTGGGTGATTGCTGCAGTGCACACTGACTGTGGCCATCGGCCCTTGGCCACTAGGACACATGCTGACCAGCTGTCCTGGCACCAGGCCATGCTCTCTGAAGCTGAGGGCCAGTCCAGCTTGCTGTCAGTGAACAGCACAGGGCTTTGGGGTTTCTACACTCAAGTCCTTTAATAAGGAAAATGGTGGTGGATTAGAATCATGGTAGATCATTGTGCTGAAGAAGATGATAATCTAGGTAGAAAGACTCATGAGCAACCCTGGCAGTGGGCCTCAGTGGACTGAGTGCCAGCCTGTGAACCAAAGGGTCACTGGTTCAATTTCCCAGGCAGGGCACATGCCTGGGTTTCAGGCCCCATCCCCAGTAGTGGGTTCACAAGAGGCAACCAAACATTGGTGTTTCTCTCCTCCTTCTTCCCTCCCTTTCCCTCTCTAAAAATGAATAAATAAATCCTTTTAAAAAAAAGAAAGAAAGATGAGCAGATAGAGTAGTAGTGGAATACTTGCCACTACCATATCAACAGACTCTCAGGGTTATAGAAATAATAGGTACACAGGCGGAGTGTTAGCTAAATGCTTTGTGTTCGTTATTTGATATAATCCTTAATCCTGTGACATGCACAAGACAGTCCATCCCCATTTGGTTGATGAGGAAATTGAGGCTTAATGAGGTCAAATAATGTGCCCAAGATCCCACAGCTACTAAATGATGGAACTTGGAATGGAGACCTCAAGAGCAGATATGCATATGATGCATCAGTAAAGTATGTTCAGAGATTGGGTGGAGCCAGTTTTAGGATCCTGTGTGTGGGAGTGGGGGCCGTGGGTTACTTACTGGTAAAGCAAACAGAGCCCATGCACCCACAATAATACTTACTCTCTTTAGGCCATGGAGGCCCTGGTGACTGCAGGGCTGGTGAAAGCCATTGGGGTGTCCAACTTCAACCATGAGCAGCTGGAGAGACTTTTAAATAAACCCAGTTTGAGGTTCAAGCCACTGACAAACCAGGTGAGCTATGGATGGCTGGGTCGCTTGAAAGAACTGAGTCGAGTTTTCGACTGTTACCTCCACGTGGCTGCACTGGAAACAAAGCAGAGTGCAGCAGGAAGTGGGCATTTCCCCCAGGGACTGTCACACTTCATGGCTGTGGCACAGTTAGGCAAATGTTGTGTGGACAGGTGAGAGCTTTTTTAAAAGACTCACCTGGTGAGGTTGTGTCCTTTAAGGCACGGCGTAAGCTGAGCTGGTTTTCCATGCACAGCCATGGGGTGAACCATCAGGCATGTTCAGGAGCGGCAAAGGGTCTGGCAGGCCCTCATCCTCGTGAATGATGGTCAGAGGTGGTGCCAGCTTCCTGGGACCTCATCAGGGAGCCCTCTCCCCTCTCCCCTTCCAGCTGGAGCAGGTTGCAGCCTGAACAAGATGGACAACTGAGAGGTTCACAGACTCTGCCAAGACTTTAATGCTGAGAAATGACTTGAGAGGAAAGGGTCATGCTGTTTCCTAGACTGGCTGCCTTTGTATGTAGAAACAGCATTCATTTTACTTAAACTTCTTATTAATGTGCTGTGTACATGGAAAAAAGTGCACACATAAAAATAGAGCTTCATGAATTCTCATAACCCGACCTAGCTCTGGACCAGCAGCCGATGAGCCCCGCTTTCTAGCCTCCACTCCCTGCCAAGAGTGGCCGCTGTTCTGATGTCTTCCCACACAGATTAGCCTTTGGACTTTATGTGGACCACGTGACATGTTGTGTCCTCTCCTGTGTCTGCCTTTCCTTACTCGGCATCACAGGTGATAGATTCTCCCGTGTTCGTATGTGGTCGTCCATCCTTGTTACCTTGTGGGATTTCAGTGTGCGACTGCCCGGTCTGTTGCTGGTGGGCATATCGTAGCTTCCAGCTCAGTGAACTTCCACCAGTGAACATACGCAGGCCTTCAGCCCCCAGAGGAAGACCCGGAACGTCCTCAGTCTTCTGGAAGCCCCCCGTGCCTTAAACCCTCACACACACAGAGACTGTGTGCATGCAGAACCACGTGGCTTCCATGTCAGCTTTTCCTTGAGCAGTACTTTCAGTCATGGGAGGGATGTTACCTAGGCTGTGGGGTGCTGTCCATGGTTCTGAATTCACTCCAAGCTGATCTTTATTTTAAGTTCACTTATGGCCTGGAACCATACAAGGGAACTCAGAGAGTGTGGACAGGAGTCTGCTCTTCATTTTCTTAAACTGTCCATTGGAGCCACCTGTAGCATGTGTTTGTCACACCTAACTCTCCAGCTTCCTTCACTCACTCAGCACTTACTGAGCACCTGCTGTGTGCCTAGCTTATTCTACAGGTTGGGCGGATGTCCTGAACAAAACAAAATCAGATCCAGATCCCTGCCTTCATAGGAGCTTACGCCCTGTAGCAATAGCTAGACACCTGCAAATAATGACAGTGTATAAGGTGTCAGCTGTTGACCCTTATTACAGTGGAAGGTAAGGCAACAGGCAGGTGGGAGAGCCGCACTTCTACCTGGACAATCAGGGAGGGCCTCACAGGGACTCTTGCATTCAGATGGTGTAGAGGTTCCTCCAGCCAAGTTAGCACTGGCAGCCTCTTGGAGACCCATCAGCCCAGCCTTTTACTTCACAGGCGTGGACGCTGGAGCCTGGAGGCGGGTCATGCAGGTTGTCAGTTGTGGAGCCAAGACATTGATGGAGGTCCTCTTTTCTAGAGGCCCAGTGGTCTAAATGTCTTTGGTCAGCTGTGATTCTCTTTGTAGACTGAGTGCCACCCATAACTTGCTCAGAAGGATCTGATTAGCTTCTGCCAGTCCAGAGATGTGTCTGTGATTACTTACCAGCCCCTCGGGGGTTCCAGGTAGGGGCTTCGGGCCAGAAATGGATACACACTCCAGTCTCACTTGCACAGTTAGCAGCGGGTTTATGGAAGGCATGGGCTGGGTGTGGAGACCACAGGCACCCAACATGTGGAACTGCTGGAGCTGGTGCTGAAAGCAGAGTCACCTTCAGTGGCTGCCTTGAGAAAGGCAGTGACATTTATGGGACATAACCAAGAGGAAGCAACCTCTTTGCTGAGCTCCTGCCTGGGACATCTAGTGCTCTGCCAGACCTGTCAGACTGATCACAGATGTCCGGGTCTCTGTAGAATCATCTTCCCACAATCTGAACTGTACACTGTGCCCCATACATCAGCAAATGAGCCACCACCCACTCTGCCACCTGTGCCAGAAACTTCTTCCCTTTTCAATTCCTCAGCCCCAGTCCAATCCCCATTAGCAATATTCACTGCCTATTCTCCCAGGGAACATGGAGTCTGTCTCTTGATTTCTGTTCTCACCGCCACTGTCTTTGTTAAGTAAGAATTCTCTCCAGGGACTACAGCAGCTTCTCAACTCCTCCCAGATGTGCCTGGTTCTCAGCCTCTGTGCACACGGCAGCTGCAGGGAGCCCTCTCATTGTGCTCCTGTCACTGTCCTGCTTACAGATCCTTCAGTTCCTGGTCTTCCCCTGCCTTCCTCCACATTGTTTTTTCCTGCAAACATGCCGAGCACAAGCTATTTGAAACTACTTGGGGCTCATGCCTTCTAGTCTCTGTTCCACTGCAAATACTGCTCTCTTTGCCTAGAAATCTTATTTTCTTTTTTCTTAATCTAGCTAATTCCAGTTTCTAATGTAAAGTTCAGCTCAGCATCACCTCCTCCTCAAAGCCCTCCTGACTCCTCCTTACTCACGTTTCATTCACAGCCCTTCTCCTTCTTGACAGAGCTACTTGAGTTGTGGGAACTGCATCTAAGTCATTACTGTCCACTCAGCCCCTAATTCAGTGCCTGGTACATATTAGCAGCCCAGGAAACATTGAAATAATTTGACTGTTATGGCCTGTGTGTTTCCCATGTGAAATGTGGCACATGTGTGAAGTTGGTAGCACTGAGTGAGTTCCTAGAGGCTAAGTTATAGTCACAGCCAGGTTTGGGAATAAGGAACCCAGTGAGAGTGTGTGTTGGGAGCCATGAGGGAGAAGAGAGGTGGCTGACATCCTGGACCATGGCCAAGGGGAGTGTGCTCTGTTTGGTCCCTTCATAGATGCTGAGGACTGTTTCTAGCCCAGTGCTCGAAACACAGCAACTGCATAACAAATGTTTGCTGAGGACAATAGCTCTCCAGAGTGCTTCAGGCTGCCTGGCTGCTGGGCAACTACTGAGGGGCAGATGCGTGGTCAGTCTCCATAGTCTCTGCACAAAGGCTCCATGTGCCCACAGTCTTAAGTTTCCCTTGGTATCTGAAGTGAATCTTCCTGAGATCACCATCAGCAACTACCTATCCATGGTGATGGTGCTACAGGCACCACTCTGGGCCCCACAAAGAGGTCGGAAGTGCGCAGGGCACATAGTACGGGGGAGAGGTTGCTGCCTGGGCCTCTGATAGAGCACCACGTAGATGTGAAGGCCATGTGTTTGGCTCTCTCCACCGAAATGTCAGCCATTGGTATCTGCAGATGGCGGACTTGGCCATAAGCTTTTCTGCACCATTCAGATTTCCCACACTGGGCACATATCATGATCACACAAAAGTAAATCCAGAGTTTCCATTTTGGACAAAGCCTTGTTTCTTTAAAGAAGGAAGTGCACACATTTGGCCCACAGCCCTGTGCTGTTCTCTGCAGTGAGGGGGTAGACCTGATGGACAACCCTGTGATCCAGGCTGTGGCACAGAAGCATGAGAAGTCTTTGGCACAGGTAGATGAAGCGCCAGCTGTGCTGGGGGGCTCCTCTCTACATGCTTCCAGAACCGTGGGCTGGGTGGGGGCAGGACTACTCGCTCTGGCCCAGCTGGTAAAGAACTAGAACTGTCTGGTGTTCATCAGGTTGTGGGGCCACCATAGTCTCATTCATTCAGGCCACGCAGGCGTGTCTCTGTGTCAAGGTCCCAGGCCACCTCCACCAACCCACCAACTGTGTGGACCCAGAAAGAGGTTTATTCCTCTCTTCCTTGCTCTAGTGTGCAGTGGTTTCAGAGATTGGACACATTAATGAATTCCCATTAAGGCGTTGGCAGGCCCTCTGAGCTCCTCGGACCAGCAGCGGTCCTTCCAGACGTGTTGGTGGGACAGTGCAGAAATGCCCTTTGGTCCCTAAGGACTCTGGAATGCAGCACTTGCAGTGACAGTGCCTGCTGCCCTGATTATCGGGCTCTACTGCGCGGTGAAACATGAACTGCACACAAATCGGGTGCTCCCTGACTCCACGTGCTTCCTTTTTCTCACATTAGACTGTTTTTTCCTGCAGATTTTGATCCGGTTTCAGATCCAGAGGAATGTGATCGTCATCCCCAAATCTGTCTCCCCAAAGCGGATTCTTGAGAATATCCAGGAAGGTGTTTTCCTCAGTAGACACTCGTGGGTTTGGGATCACGTGTGAGCTGGACAGCTATGCACTGCAAGAAACAGGCCCAGCCGATGTGGCTCTGACACAGCAGAGGTTCAGGTCAAGCATAGGCTGACACATGCTCACCTGCCTACAGTGAGCACGGACCACTGCAGATGGCTCGTCAAAACACAAGAAAGACACACACAGAGACAAGCAGTTTCTGTGGGGAAGTAAAAACGGAATGGCCACTCTCTCTCTAGTGGGTAGAGCATCATGGCCACTCTCTCTAGTGGAGAGCATGGTGTATCCATTCCCAAGCAGATTTTTATTCAGAATAGACTTAGTTTGTGGATCAGTCTGGCAGAAAAGATCAAAAGAAGTAGGTGACTTACAAAGGTGTGGATAGAACCTTGCTGTGATTCTGGACAGAGATTGGAGTTTTAACATATAAAAGAACTACAGGATCCAAAGGTTTCCTGTCTATGCCTTTAAATTCCAAGTAAATAACATCCTCCAGCAAACGGATCTCCCAGAATCTTGCATATTCTATTTCCCAGTCCTGATTACCCCGGGGGTCTGCTGTTTCTGGATCGGGCTGCACTGCCCCTGCACGTCTGAGTTAACAGAGAAGACAAAGGCAGCCAGGAGACTTGGATTTCTCACAAGGACTCAGGCTTTGACAAAGCCGAGGGGGCAGGGGTTGATGTTGATTACCCCTTCATATCCACAGCCCCGAGTCTCTTCCCTTAGGGCATTCCCACAGGACCGAGTCTGTCTTAGGTTCATTCTCTTCCTTAGAGTATTGTTACCTGTCTTTGCCGACCATGCAAGGGATCCAGGCATTAGAATAGGCCGAGTCCATGCCAGGGAAATAAGTTTTGTCTCCTTAGTGTCTCCTGTTCCAGAGGTCTTTGACTCAGCCCAAGACACGAGGGTTACAGCTTCCTGAGACCAGGCAGGGCGGCCCCCAACAATAGGCCACACCAAGGGGACCCACGCTGAGCCTAGCAGCCACCCGCCTGGGGGCTGCAGACAGGATAAGATGAGGAAAGGAGACATGCTGAGGGACCAGGATTCCAGCCAGGCCACCCACCACCCAGATGCCTGCTCTGCGCCCAGCACCCCTGATTAACACTGTCCCTGGGGCTGTCGCCCCTGATGCAAGGGAACAGTCCAGACTGTTCCTGTCTCCCCTCCACCCAAGCTGCCGGGGCCCAGCTCCCCCTCCAGGCAGAGCTGCTGATGTGGAGTCCCTGGTTTCTGCTGGGCATCATGTGGGAGGTCTCCCGTGGTAGAGGCTGGGCCAGGCCTGTCCCCTCCTGGACAAAGATGAACTCACACCCTACACCTTCTTGCCCAGTTCTCAGCATTGCATCGGAGCCAACTCTTCCGTGTGCAAAGCTGTGACTGTAGGAGCAGGACACAGGCCCTAGGCGTGCTGGGGGCTGAGTAATGGGGGCAGCTTAGAGTATGTTCTAGAAGGAGCAGAAAGCAAGCCCTCGGAAATCACAGTGTGTCACAGCTGTGGTTAGAGTCAGTGGTCCTGAGCCCCAGCATCTCCCTGCCTGCTGCGTGGGGTGGAACAAATGCTTGTGTTTTTTCTGAATTTGGGGTTTTGTTTTGTTTTGAGCAGTGGAAAAATTTTGTGCTGCACCTTTTGACGGTTCTGATATGCTCCTCACTGCTACAGGACAAATGCAGCACATGTGTCCTCTTTCCAAGGGTCCATACTGTAGCCAGTGCAGTGCTCCCTGGGCACTGGGCCGAGGTCCGGGGATGTGCCAGGGGTCACGTCAAGTGCTGCCTCCACGTGTTTGTGTCCCTGGTGCGCTCGGCACAGTGCTCTGTGGCAGCACACGCTTGGTCAAGTGTTCGCTGGACTGGTTTCCCATGAACGTTTTATTTTGGTTCCAGGTGTTTGACTTTGAATTAACAGAACAGGACATGAATGACCTCCTCAGCCTGGACAGGAACCTGCGGCTGACGACATTCCCCACGTGAGCCCAGCTCTATCACTCCTTTCAGAATAGAGGAAGGAACATTCCGATTGAGCAACTGCCTCCCGGGTAGATATTCATCACACACATCTTAAGTTAATGCAGTGTTCTCAGAATTATTTCCTGTTTGGGAATGGGCTGGTGAAAGACCCCAGAGATGAATTTCATACACTAGGGTGTATAAAAATATAGAATCATGTCATTTAAAGTGTATTTCTTAAAAATAGTAATCCGTCTTGTTTCTGTTTTTGACTTGTTCACTGTTTTCCAGAGCTGCAAATCACAAGGACTACCCTTTCCATGTCGAGTACTGAGCCGGCTGCTGCTCCCTCCTCCCATGAGGCCTGACCAGCCCAGGGCTCTGAAGGGCTTGTCCACCCTGTTTGTGGGCGCAGGGTGCTGCCTCAGCCACACAGGCAGCCTGGCCGGGGATGGGAGGGGCATACCCCAACCGCCCTAGACACCGTCAGAACCCTCGTGTCTCTGCCTCAAGGACTCAGCATCCTCAGAGTGTGCCCACCCAACACCCCACCCAGGCTCACGAAATCTAAAAGCACAGTGTGGGGGATTCTCACAAGGTTAGGAGACCAGCACGAAGAACCTCTACAGCCTTGACTCAGCTTCGGCAATGAGACCCCCACCCCGGCCCCTCTGCTCCCCACCAGTTTCCCCAGTGGGTCTCACAGTGAAATGCTTGCCTTCACACCTGGAAAGGAAGATTGGGTGAGAGTGGTGAGCTGTCTTAGTTCAGCACAGAGGCATGTTTTTCTTCCTGGAAATCTGAATTTTAATTTTTAAGTGTTATTGTCTAAGAAAGTCTTTCAGGAAATCAGATTATACGTGTGAAGACACCGAACCAGAGATGCATGTGGTCATTCCCCACGGCGCACTCAGTGTGTTGGGGACAGGGTGGGAGTGCACGCAGGCTTGTTCAGGATGGTGTGTGATCCTATGGTCTGCACATCACTTCCACCTCAGCCCAGGCATAGCTGGTCCCCTGGGACCTGCGTCCAGGCCTCCTGGATGTGTCTCCCCAATGCACCCTGCCCAGCTCCCAGCCCCCACCCACACACATCTGGGAGGATGCAGATCACTTGACCCACCTGCCTCAAGGACCCTGCTTCTGTCCACAGGAGTGAGTGGATCCTGGGTGTCTGCCTTTGGTGCCCCCCCTCCAGCTACCATCCACACCCCTGACCCAGGGCTGGTACTTCATCACCCAGAGGTGAAGATGTCCATTTGGAGGCCAGCCAGCCACAGACTTGACTTGTTTTCTGCCTGTTTCTCATTGGATCCTCCTTTCTGCCTCCAGTTTGCAAAGCCACCCCTCCTGCTCCCTTTGGTGCTCCCAGGACTCTGCACCACCCACCCCTCCTTCATATTTAAGCCTCGATGCTAGTCAGGGAAGGAACATGGGGGAGCTCCTGAACCCCACAGAGTGTCTGCAGGAGTAGCAGGATGATGAGCTTTTCTGTGCCTGCTCCTGATGCCCACTAGCCAGCAAGGGTCCAGGGGCCTGAGTCTCAGGGGTCTCCCACCCAGGTGCCCTGTATATGATAACCATGGTGGGGTGGAGACCACACTTCCTATCAGTCAGAGAGGGTAGGAGCCAGCTCAGGTGGCCTCGTTTCTTGTGGTCTGTGAATGTCTGCAAGTGATCAGCAAAGCCCCAAGAGTGTTGTGTCTGTGTTACAAATAAAGTTTAGCCTGTAAGCAAATACTCAAACATGGATGCTGAATAGCGAATTTGTATACCTGTCTTTGCAATGCTGATTTAGCTCCCAGGCAGCTTCAGAGCTGTTGGCTGGATCTGCCACCAGGTGGGGAAAGAGACCCAGTAATGTTCAAGCTCAATGAGCAGCTGCTGGTAGAAGGTGCCTTTGCAAGGCCTGTTAGATTTCAAGGGGGTTTCTTTTGTTTTGTTTTATTTTCAAAAACATTTTGTGAGTCATTCTGAGGAAAGAAACAACAGGTAGCAATACTAAGCAAAACACTAGGGAATTGGAAAGCTTAGGAAGTTTCCCAGAGTTTATGTGGAAGCAAAGGGGCCACAAGCAAAACCTGACAGGCTCAGGGGGACTTGGGAAGCAACTTCAAACTCAGAGACACAAAGTAACCACACAGGTTGTTTTGAAGTTCAGACTTTCCACTTAAAATTAGGTTTTGTCCTTAGTCATGTCCTAGGCCAGTATTTTTCCCTAACAAAGCTCAACCTTTACCTTAACTGAGCCTGTCAGTTACCTTTTGTCATCTTTGGTAACATGGCTGAGGAACATGGGATTTCCTTTCCCTGGGCCCCTCACAGCACAGGCACCACACCAGGGGGACACCATGAACACCCTCCCTGTTACTTTGATGGTGTTAAATGTTGACTGTAACTATCCTGACCCACCTGTGTAAAAGAAGTCTGTGTCCATCATTTTACCTTTCATCCAACCCAGAGGGCCCCCCACCCACCCAGCCTTGCCCTCTCCCGCCTCCTCATCTATCACCAATGGACTTCTGGTGACCCCTTATGCCTCCTCTTTTGACTGTGACATATAAAATAAGGTGCTAAGCTGCCATTCTCCAGAGCATTTCTCAACTGGTGGAGGGTTTGCTTCCCAGAGACTGTCAGCAGTTTGACTCAAATAAAACCGCCAACATTCTCAACCAGTGTGAATGTCTCTTACCTGGACAGCAGTCCCATCCCCCATGAGTTCCCAGGTCCCTGTGCAGGTGGCACTTGAATGCGCTCTGCAGCTCCTGCCTCACAGGCCCTCCTCCCTGGGACGCTGCTTTTGTCTGCACAACCTGCCTTCTGTGGAAGATCTTCCCCACTCCAGGGCCTGCAGACTCAGGTCCCAAGAGAAAAGTTACACAGGTGTCCCTTTCAAGGGCCCACTTGTGTCAGATGGCTGGCTTCTGTTTCTGATGGCTTTAGGATGGGGGAGGGGGCTCAGCTCAATGAATACCTGTCCCATTTGGGTTTTCTCTCCTTTCACTGAAATGGAAACCCAAGGATACTGGGAAAATTAGAGCCATACCCAGCAAGAAAGAAAACAGCCTAATAGGAGATGGTTTTTTTTTTTATTTTGGGTGTGGAGGTGTGTTGAAAACAAACATCAAGGGTGATTGGTAAATAAAATGAAGCAGGAAATTAGGGAAAAGGCAGGGAAAAAATCTAGGTATCCAGGCCCTTTTTTCAAACACATCAGGGACCTGGGTCTACTGGAAGACAGCCGGGCCTACCTACCTGGCAGGTGTTTAGGGGCCGCTCTGGGGTTACACCCAGCTGATTTCTCCCACTCCTCCCTGGAGGTTAAATGGGAACTCCCAGATCCGTGGCAGCACTGGAAAGCAGTGCACTTCCATCACCCCTGCCCTGTGCTTTGTTAAAGTGTTCCCTCCTCCAGATGTGATGCACAGCAAAACCTTATTCTTTCCCCTTTCCACAGTCAGTGTTCTTCTAAAGAGTTTCAGCCAGGAAGGAAATACCCCATGCGTCTCCCGACATGTGTACCATTTCCCCTGCACTCCAGCCTCATTGCCCATCTGGGTTTCCCTTGGAACCGTTTCTCCTCAGCCTGGAGAAGTTCCTCTGAAAGCTCTTTGTTGAACTTTTCTCTTTTTTATTTGTCCCAAATAAAAAACCGTTTGCAATTGCTATTGAAACGGTTGTATAGGATGGCTGCTCTAAGACCTGTGATGATTCCAAGTTTGGGTCATCTTGGTACAGGCCTCTGTTGCTTGTCTTTCATTCAGTTTATTCCTTCCTTCTTCTTGCTATTATGAGTTATCTTTCATTGAAATCTGAACATCTCAGAAATTTTATATTAAGTGTTAAATCTCCTTCAAGGAACTGATAGAATGTTATGGAATGGGAAATTCAAAAGAAAGAGAGAAAGTAACACAAGAATGATAGAACAAGACAGGAGTGGACTTTGAAACTTTGAAGCACAGCAAATGGTTAGCTTTTTTGGAGAGCTCATAGCCACTGAGATCACCTCCTGGGATGTCAGTATTTCAGCCTCAGTGACACAGGGGAAAATAAGAAAACAAAACAAACACACAGAAGAGCCAAAGCAGTGGTAGGTTATCTTGGTCCAATTATATCTTTATTTATTTGGGGAAAAACTGGGTTTAGAGACTTTTTCCTGATCCAGACACACAAGCCTTATTGTGACTGACCCATGTACGAGACATAGAACACAACAGACGCCTTCTCATCCTTGAGATCATCTCCGACTCTGGGCCAAAGTTAAAACCGGGAGCATCCTCACATACTTGTCCTTAATATTCATCATGAAATGGAAAATTTGGGTGGTCAGCAAACCTGAAAGATAAAGGAGATCCTTAGTCTCCTGACTGTTTCTGGGCTGGGTCAAGAGAGGCTTCTTTTAAATTAGCTCAAGTATAAATATTTGAAAGATAATTTTCTTTCTGGAGAAATACAAACACAACTAGTTTTGCAATTACCCTGTACAGTTGTATCACACTGTAGTAAATCCATTGTAAGAAATAAATGAACTTACTGGCCCTTGAGCACCTACACAAATATAAACTAATATAGACTATTATTGCAAATATATAATTCTACAACTTAAGGAGATGGAACTATTGGTGTTGCACTCTTAACTCCCAGAAGGAGAGAAATGAATGCTGCCTTCCTTTAAAATAATGACCAACTCAGCCATTATTAAAATAATGGCCACATCAGTCACCAGGGTGCATTAATTGTGTGATTCATTTATAATTCACTTTGGTGATAT